TTGGAAATGCCAGTTTTTGGTCTCAAAAAACTTCATTTCCCTATACCCATTCCCGGAAGTTAGCAAAGGTATTCCATAGTTATAGGGAAAGGAATCTTTGAGATTAATTCAGTAATTCCACAAATACTAAGCATCTTGTGTTAGTTCCAGACAATTTTATACACTGGAAATACATTGCTTGAATACAAGGTTCTTGCTTTCACAGATGGAGCTTGCTTTCTGATGGGTAGAAACACAAAATAAACAAAGCTTTAGGTAACAAGACTCTGTTACATACAAAACAGAACTGCTTTAGATTGGGTAGTCATAAAGCAGACCTTATGAGCAGATGACATTCAAGTTAAAACCTAGATGGCAAGCAAAGGCCATAAAGATCTAGGGAAAGAGTAGTAGGCCAAGGGAACGGCTGGCACGATCATCCCAGAACCAGCTGGTGAGTTCCTGGAGTAGAAGTCGGTAGGGTTGGGGAGCATCAGAGATGAGATTGGAGAGAGGCAGAGGCTGGATTATGGAGCCTGTCAGTTTATGGTAAGGCACAGTGGAAATATGTTACAGGACTTTACACAGAGGCATGTTTGTTTTAATTTGCATTTTAAGAAATCAGTCTTGTTGATTTATGGAAAATGGATTATAGGGGGATGAGCAGCAAGAATAGAATAAAGTGGTCCTTAGGGAGGCAGTTGGGACATTGTAGAAGTGGGCAGACTTCTTGCATATCACAAGGCAGAGAATCTTTGCTCTACCAGGTGGAAGATTTGCTTCGTGGTGTCCAAAATTGGAAGGAGTCTCAGCATCCACTCTTCCAAATTTTAGAGAAGGGATTATTTATACTGGGGGACCTCAGAACTCTCCCTCATGATCTATCCCCGTAATGAAAGAACAAGACTGCACTGTGTAAATTACCAGGTGTCCTTGGTGGTGCAGGGCAAAGGTTGTAGGCAGGTACCACAGCCTTCCTGGGAGTCAGCACTCATGAGTAGCTGCAGTGGTTGGCGAGAGAAGTAAATGGCAGTGGTGTAATGTGGATGCTTTCCTCCTCCCACCCTGAGAAACCCACCTGATTAAACATTTCCTTATCTGGCTTTGTCTATTTACAGGGCTCATCAATGTCCCTTTCACGATCCAACAGTCGCGAACACTTGGGAAGTGGAAGCGAATCTGATAACTGGAGAGACCGAAATGGAATTGGACCCACAAGTCATAGTGACTTTGCAGCTTCTATTGGCAGCCCTAAGCGCAAACAAAACAAATCAAGTGAGCTTTGTGTTTTATTCACTTTTTGGTATACCTAGTTTAGAATGTGTTTTGAGTTAGAGTATCACTGTGGCCTTTCTGACTTCAAGTGCTTGGTGTAATTCACATGCCATCTCTTTTGTGAATCTGTCCTCGTTTCTCCCAGTGAAGCAGGCCACCTGGTTCTCTCCTTTCACTGCATTTTGTGCATGCTTTCACTCTAGCACTTGCCTTACCAAAGGTTAATTATTTATCTACGTATCTGTATCTCCCTGGGGAATTTGTGTTCTGCCAGCCAGAGACCATATTCATTCATTTTATAAACATTTATGAAGTACCCACATGTCAGGCATTCTGTTCTGTTCTGCCTTATTAGTTAACTCTTCCCTAATACCTGATGGACTGACACTTTGTAGGTAGCTGCTCAGTAAAAATTTGTGAAACAAATGCATGAATGGGTAATGCACACACATCCATCCAGGTGATAACGAAAAGACAAGGATGTAAGAAAGTGGTTGAGGCCAGGCATGGCAGCTCTCACCTGTAATCCCAGTACGTGGGGTGGTGAAGGTTAGATGATAGCTTGAGCTCAGGGGTTTGAGACCAGTCTGGGCAACACAGTGAAATTTCATCTCTACTAAAACAACAACAACAACAAAACCTGGGAGTCGTGGTGTCCATGTGCCTATAGTCCTAGCTACATGGGAGGCTGAGGTGAGAGTATTGCTTGAGCCCAGGAGTTTGAGGCTGCAGTGAGCAGTAAGTGAGCCACTGCACTAAAAGCCTGGGTGACAGAATGAGACCCTGTCTCAAAAAAAAAAAAAAGAAAAAAGAAGTGGTTGAGAAAAATATGATTCAGTTAGCATCTTAAACCATTGAAGAAAGAGTGCCTAGTGGGTGGCTACTAAAGGTGAACAGCAGGGTTTCAGTTTATAAATAGATGTTGCTGAATTAGCATAAACAGGAAAAAAATTAACTTACGGAATGGGGGCTCTGGCTTTTAGCAAATCTGACCGAAAGTCAGCATGAGCCCATTGTTTTATCTACAACAGCACCCATACTCCTGGACTGTATAAACAGGAGAGCTGACATTGTCATCACAAGCTATGCCCCAATGCCTTTTTGCAGGGTTTTTGACACATTTGGAATCCTAAAACATGTACAGTATTTGAAGACTCCTTGAAGAAAGGCAATCTAGTTGAGCCTAGTAGACACTCAGTAACAGTCAGTTGTTACGTTACTATCGATCATGTCCGCTGTGTTGTCAGGAGTCTCAGATTTGAAAGGAGTAATCAGGTCGTTGGCCAAGTCTAAATAAGAAACTACGGGCAACTCTTTCATCCCTAAATGCACTGTCAATAGTAGCCTGGAGAGTTTCCATTAGTTAGTGGCTGGATGCTCCACCACTGACAGTATGATCCAGCTGAGAGTCAGGCTGGTGCCAGGCACAGATGGAGGGTGTAAATGATGTCCAGTCTCTAACCCAAGATACATTCATTTGGTGCTTCTCTTTATCTCCTGTCCCTTCATTTAACATTGGATAATTGACTGTACTAGTTTGAATTGAAGTTCAAGATTCAGATGGAGGCTACATCTTAATAAGAACCCAAATTTCTTATAAAAAGAAATGTCATTTGGGTTTCATCACTTTTTTAGGGTGTAGAGAGTTTAAGAGAGACTATAGAAACTAAAAGTAGTTAAGAACAAAAAAATAAGTTATAGGCTATTTTGAATATTTATCACTATGAACATTTTAAACACTTGTTTTTAAAAATTTTACTAATTTATTTAACCCAATGTATGTATGATTCCTTTTAAATATGTAATCAATATAAATATTGAGATTGTACAACATAAGAAAGAATGTAAGCTAAGTCTTTAAAATCTGCAGTGTTTTGTGTACTGACAAAGCATTTTCATTTCCACTAGCCTCAATTCAGGTGCTCAGTAGACATATGTGACCAATGGCTACTGTATTAGACAGCACAGTTGTAGATAATTTCTCTTAACACCCTTGTCAACGTCACCAATGTTTTCCATTTTCCCTGGGCGTCCCTATTTATACCAGTTGCTGCAGCTTAATTCTTAGTAACTCTTTTACTCTCAAAAAAAAAAAAAAAAGTTAATGTATCATTTGGACCATAAATTTTATGGGCAGCCTTATAGCCACTTTCACGTTGTCACATCCAATGGTCATTCACCGCAATTTGCTTATTGCAGTCCACTTTGTGTCACCTTTGACCTAGTACCTCAATAATCACTCCTCCTCAAATTGTTTTTATGACTTTGGGGCCTCTGCTTCACCTGTAAATGGTGGAGTATCCCAGGGCTCAGTATCTTGGGGTGTGGTTTTGGGTCCTTTCTCTACATATTCACCCCAAGAGATAAACAGCTATCTTTATGAGAAAAAGAAACCTTATCAGGAGATGCCTTCTGCTTGAGAATCATAAAGGACATCTCAATTGGGAGATGAAGACAACCGGAGAAAGCGATCAGTGGCACCCAAAACAGTGCAGAACAAGATTTCTAGGTTTGGCAGATGCATGGATCCCCAGAGTAGACTAGATGGATTTGATTAGCTTTGGTCAGTGTCATCCTCCTTTACCTCTTTGGGGATCTCTCCTGAAGCCACATCCTTAGTGTAAGAAGACAGATTTCCCACATAGGCAAGAGCTCATTACTGGTCTGGGAGGTAGAATGCCTGCACTCTGCTAAAATCTCCAAGGAAGAGAGAGAGTGTGTGTGTGTCTCTCTCTCTTTCTTACTTGGCATGGTTCAATAGTCCATCACTCAGCCCTGCTTTGCACTGGGTCTGTGAGCCACGGTGTGTTGATACCTTTGCCCACCAAAGCAGTTGCAGAACCAGGGTGAAATTCAGCATTGCCATCTTCAAAGTTTTCCCCAGAGACAGATTTATTTATGTCAAATTAAATCCAGGAATTCCAGCATCATTCCTATCAGTTTATACATTACTCTTTATTTTGGAAGTGTGCTGTTTTGTGACCTTGCTACCCAATTATATTTTTCTAGAGAATAGGATTTATGTGTTGCAATGTCATACAATTCCTTTCACTGAAGGAAAACACAGGGATAGATACACAGAGCTACCCTGCCATCCAAAAGGAGCCTGGACTTGTAATAACTTTCTACACCTTTATTTTGTCCCAGGGATCCTTTTTCCAGCTCCTCATTTAATTCACATCAAATCAATTATAAACAACAAATGCTTCTGACTACTCAGGGTGAATATGATGAATGATTATTAACTACAGAGGCACTGTTGCTGAATTTCTGCCTCCCAAGTGGAGCCTTTTAAATGGCAGGAGCCTTGCTGAAAGCAATAACCAGCATTTCCTTAATGAAAAGCCAATATTTCAGTAAAAGATTGCTGTATTTCTACAGCTACTGCTCTATTCAGCTGAACAATGAAATTTGAAATATTTAGGTAATTAAAACTTTTCATTAAACCATGTTCTCTCTGGGCATTTACACTTCAAACCTCTCTCTCCTTTGCCTTTCAGCGGAACACTATCTCAGCAGTAGCAATTACATGGACTGCATTTCCTCGCTGACAGGAAGCAATGGCTGTAACCTAAATAGCTCTTTCAAAGGCTCTGACCTCCCTGAGCTCTTCAGCAAACTGGGCCTGGGCAAATACACAGATGTCTTCCAGCAACAAGAGGTCAGTCATTATTTATTTTCACAGGTATCTGTTTTGGTTGTATGTATGTTGACTTCTAGAATGAAGTCACCTATTGACCTGAGTATGCTTTCACTGAGCATTTATTCAAGTCTCATAGCTTGCTCTTGCTACTAAGAAAAATGTCATCTCATTTCTTATTTATTTAATGCAGCTAGTAAACACAGGATAGCAGAAATAGAGAAAATACTTGCAAAAAATGTATAACAGCTAACAGTTTTAGCAATAAAACCCAATTGATATATTGATTCATAGGAATTTTTGTAGTCACAGCTCCCTTAAGGTCAGCAACAAGTCTGTATTTAACATGATTGTTTTTGAATCTGTTATCTTTATTTCTGGCACTTAAAAGTAAGTAACAGCATCTGAAATATCTCTGGCTGTTTTTGACTCAGCCTTCTCATACCGAAGTCTGTTCTCACAGAATATATGTTTTTTTTTTTTCCAACATGTTAATTTATTCATTAACTAATCGTTTGGGTTTTACCTGAACTGAGACAGAACTGAGATGTCTTCTGAACAATCACAGTCATGGATTTTGGTCAAACTGATTAGCCATATCCTATTATGTACTGGTATAAAGAAAAGAGGCTCTGGGCATGATTCTTCTTAACAGCACTCATACTGCTGGGGCACAGCTAGCCCAAAGTGTCAGAAAATTAAAATGGTTCTGTACATTTGTGTCTTTGTCAAATCAAGACATGGTCCACGTTTGATGCTAGTTGGCTTATTTTAATGCTACAGAACATCAGATTTAGTCAGTAATTTCTAGGCATGTGTCAGTTAATAAAGAGTCTATGGCTTTTATTAGGTACTTTGTATCAAAAATTCAGTGTACTGCCCATGGTCCCATAAATTATTAACCTTAAATGCTGAGCATTTTTGTTTTTTGCACTGAAAGAGCAATTGTGTATATTAAATTTCAGGACATTGTTTTTTTTCCTGTTTCTCCTATGTCTGAGTTAGTGTTCACTTAACCTCTCCTACATCTGAGTTAGAAAATTCTTGGCTAAATGAACACTCAGATGAATAAACTTTTCATAATCAATGCATTAAAGAATATATTTAGTCTTGTTGGTTAGATGAGGATAGCTGACTGGGAAGCTAAAAAGCACAAGTATTTTAACATGTCCAGGCACAAAAGGTTAAAAAGCAAGGGATTGAATATTATTCAATGATATTCTGGGTTTGTTTTCATCTATGTTTATTTCTTATTTGAAGAAGCATATTAAATTATAGGTATTTCTTATTCCAATTACACCAAGAAGGAAGAAAACATGAAAGTATAAAGCCAGAGGGACTTAATTTAAGATTTTATAAACTACAGCAGGAATCAGCAAACTGTGGTCTGCAGGCCCACTGCCTGATTTTGTAAATAAAGTTTTATTGGAACACTGCCATATTCATTTGTTTACATATTGTATAAGGCCTTCTTCCAGCTACAATAGCAAAATTAAATAACTTCAACAGTGACAATATGGCCCACAAAACCCAAAATATTTAACATCTGGTCCTTTAAGAGAAAGTTGGGGAACATTTGAGCTGAAGAGTCTTTGTTATAGAATTTTTGAAAACATATCTTTAGAACTGAGATAAATGATGGTCTAGGGTTTTCTAAGATCACATCAAAACAGGACAATTTAAATTATCTTCAATATCATTTAATGAAAAGTTTTATCTGTTTATGGTGTGTTGAAATTTGGTAATCTGCTTCTTTCATGTAGGATATTTTCTAATACTCAGATGGGATTTAACAAGATTCCCCCATTAAGTAACTTCATGAGATTTAATTTATTGTAAGCATGTTGAGGATTCATTTAGCAACTTTCACAGATGACCTATCAACGTGCATTATTAGTAACCATAGCTGCCAATTAGCCTCTTTGGTAAGCCCAGCGCTTTATATCTGTAGTTATAGTGAATGCTCACAACAGTTCTGCAAGATATAGTATTGTCAACCCTCTGTGCCCATAGCTAGTAATGGCACAGTTGGGATCTGAACCTAAGTCTCTTTGGCTTCAGAATCCATTGTCTTTCTCTTCTTCCACACTATCTTTAAAGGAAGGTTGGGGGATCCTTGGGCAGTTTACCTTCATACTTTGTTTCTGATGCCAGAGAGTACAGTTTTATAGTTTTTGCAAATACTTCTTTTGTATCCCTTTCTGTGATAGTTTGCTGGGTTGAGCCACGTGAACTGTAGGTCTGATTGTGTCTGGGAATTCTTCTTTCAATCCTATGTAGGACACAAAGGAAGATACCATCTGTTATATTATTTAGTTTCTTCTTATAAAGATATAGTTAACCAATTCAAAATCCAAAGACCTATTTTTTCTTTCCTCAACAGATAATGTTCTTCCTTTTATCAGTTCACAAAAATGATACAATCTTCGTATTTTCTTTTTTGCTGTAGTTTCTAGGATGCTCATAGCTAAGTCTTCTGCTAGAATTATCACTTCCATTTCACCATCTTTCTTAATTCTTGTTTCTTAGGTTTGTGCTACTACCTTTCTTTTCTGGAGGTAGACAGAGCATAATTAATAAATAAGTGTGATAACAAGTTGATCCTACAGTGAGAAAGAAACTAAGCGATATATTGGTTACAGATTGACCTTTCTACCCACAGATCGATCTTCAGACATTCCTCACTCTCACAGATCAGGATCTGAAGGAGCTGGGAATAACTACTTTTGGTGCCAGGAGGAAAATGCTGCTTGCAATTTCAGGTGAATATAAATATTCAGCTTTTACATTAAAATCTGAATAATCTCTGCCAGTGGTCTCAGCCATTGGGTTGGTTCTACCCATTAACCACTGGCTTACTAATCTGACACCTTGGTGGTTGTGGTTTCAGAGGGTTTTCTTGTCAACAGTGTGACAAATGCTGAGAATATCTTTTTCATCAAGGCATTGCCTGAAAACCTGCCTTAACAAGGGTCATACCTGAAAACAGATCTCTTCAGAAAGATCTAACCAAACTTGCCCTATGCAGAACATGAAAATGGGGGGAAAGTTTAATTCTCCTCTTTGCAGCTGTATTAAACAATAATCACTGTATTAGTGAATAATCATTCTTGATTGGCAGTTATGTTTCAAATATGTGTGTCCTTGCATACTGACCGAGATCATCGCACTGAGAAGAAAAGAATGCTGGTTGCGATAGTGTGGAATCTGGCAGTGTTACTTGTCTTAATTCTTCTTAGTTTCCCACTGTTTTAGTAGAATTTATGAGTCACAGGACATAGTATCCTGAAGATAGTCACAGAATGAAGGAAAATAATGTCTACCTCCCTAGTCCACTTTCTTTGTGCATCTGTTGCATGTATGTTTTGGAAATGCTCTATACATATTTATTGGGTGCCACTCATTTGAAAGGAATTGAGCCAGATGATGAGTCACGAATGGGCAAATACATAGTAATGAACCTCAAAAAAGTGTTTAGAGAAATATGCAGAAATTTGAAGGAGGGAATGGGATTAATTTTTGAAGGCTTTCCAATAAAGTTCTTGAATGTCAAATTTATATATGTCCCAGTCTCAGAAAGACAGACATGCCAAGGGCAGAAACCAAGTGTTATGTGCTGTGGAATAATGAATGCTTTTTCAGAACACTGAATTTGCAAGCTGTGCCTCAGTAGAGCCAATAGTTGCATCCAACTGGTCAAAGTTCATTCCAGACAGCATTCACTAATCAGATCAGCAGAAAGAATTTAAAACCTCAGTGGTTTTCCATTTTATTTTATCAGCATGTTGCGTGTCCCACCCATCTTCCCATAGGAAATCTTTATCTGAAGCAGACATAGGCACAGCAGCTTTGAAATAGGAGTGGAAATTCAGCCATTGAGGTTCCTGGTGGCAGTCTATTAGATTCTTCTATGGATAGAGTTCTACACTCATCAATTTTAACAGAATGTCTAAAGTTTCTTCTTGGATATACTGTGTATACCCGAGAGGCTCTATTAATGGAACTCCACAGGGAAGATGTGTAATTCCTGCTCATAAGATTATCTTGGTATAGTGGAAAGAACACTTGATTCAGTAGGAGATCTGGGCCTTGTTTCTGCTAAGTCATGAGTCCTTGAGTGAGTTGCCAAACTTCTTTTGGCTTTGGTTTATTAATCATGAAGGTAGATTGGAATACATGATTGTACAAAGGTCACCTTCTATTTCTAAGATCTATCCTTTCATGTGATATCACCAGGCTTAGTGAAAATGGACAAAACTATAGTTTTATTACTTGTTCTTTCTTTTTTACCATCTATGATAGTAATTTTAAAAATGTATTTGTTTTCCCTAAAGCTCAGCCTCAGGGGGCTATTCCTAGACTCAAGCTAACTTTTGAGTTTTTATATTCTTTTATTAATTTACAAATGAAATTTGCAAAAATACTGTTTAAAATGTGATTAACTTGTGCATTCACCATACCTATACTGTTGAAACATGCCTGCGGGCCAGCAGTTTTATACCAGTGAAGAATAGCATCCAGAGCTACATAATCTTTCACTAGAGAGTCATGGAATGGCAGTGGGGATATACTGAAAACTAGTTCCTTTTTAGGTGTCCCAACCCAATTCCCAATTCTGTAAAGCTTTTAGCAACAAGCAGATAGCTGTAAATACATTCATGGACATAGATAGATCATCAATACCTTTACTTTGGAATGTATCAGGATCCTTTGTGTGGGAGGTTAGATGGGAATAAGAAGGGTTTCAGGCTCTCTATTTAAATATATATATATGTGTGTGTGTGTGTGTGTGTGTGTGTGTGTGTGTGTGTGTGTGTGT